TGCAATATGTGATCCTTGATTAGATTTTGAATTTAAGGAGCTAAAAAATGAACAGCTAAATAACATTATTGAGATAATTAGGTCAGTGGGCCACATGGACTGCATATTAGACAATGGTATTGAATTCATGGAGGCCTGGTTACAAAGTGGTTAAGCACTAGGCAGCTAACCGAAAGACCAGTGGTTTGAACCCACCAGCTGCTCCGTGGGAGGAAGATGTGGCAGTCTGTTTCCATAAGATTTACAACCTTGGAAACCCTATGGGGCAATTCTTCTCTTTCCTATAGGATTGTTATCAGTCAGGATTGACTCGACAGCAAGGCGTTTGGGTTTTTTCTTTTTTTTAATTCATGTTAGGCTTCCTGAGAGTGACCATTGTGGTTATGTAAGAGAGTGTCCTTGTTCTTAGGTGATGCGTGATGAAGTACTAAGGACGAAGTATCAGGATGTCTGTGACTAAACGGTTCTTTTACATTTATGTTACATATTATGTTTATGTACACACACAGGTAATATACATGAGTGTACTTATGTTTAGAGAGATAAAGTAAATCTGGAAAAATGTTAACATTTGGTAAATCTAGGTGAAGGGTTTAATAACTTTTTTATTATACTCTTGCCACTTTTCTCTAATTTTGAAATTGTTCAAAATAAAATTGGGGGAAATTTTTCTAAATAGTGAAAAGTATTATAGATAAAGTAAAATCACAGACTGGGGGAAAATATTTGCACAATGTAAAGGGTAGACTTCATTAATGTATAAAAAGTGACAAAATGTTTAACAACCCAGTAGAAAAATTGGGAACCGGACAAACAAGCAGTTAATTTTTACAAGAGAGGAATGTAAATTGCTATTCAACCTATGAAGACCTGTTTAACCTCACTCACAATAAGAGACATGCAAATTAATACTGTAGTAAAATATCATTTTTCACTTATCAGACTGGCAAAACTAAAAAAGGTTTATAATGCTGTAGGTTTAAGGCAATAGACAAAGGAGTAAGGCTGTAGGCACAGGCACATTAATTGTGAGCATAAATTAGTATTACCTCTTTGGAGAGCATTTGGCAATATGGGTTAAACTTTAAAATCCACATACCCTCTGATCCACTAATTCTACTCCTAGGAATTTATCCTATACATGTATCTATACGAGTACGCAAAGAAATATGTATAAAGTTACTTTCTATAGGGTTGTTTGCAATAGTGAAAGATTGGTAACAACTTATATGTCCATCAGAGAGGACTGGTTAGATAAAGGATGGTGTATCCATGCAATGCAGCAGCTGTACTGTGCAGCTGTAGAAAGAATGAGGTGACTTCAGAAGTACTGTATGGATAAGGCAAATCTCTAATACACATTTTTAAGGGGAAAAAGCATGGTGCTGAACAATATAGAGTGTATCAAAATTTGTTTTTCAAAAGGAAGAATAAGGATGCTAGGAATGTGGTTGTGTTCCCTGAAAATTCATTAAAGTGAACATTGATGATTTGTGCACTTTTCCACATATATAACATATATATTAAAAGCTTCTGAAAAGAAAGTCAAAATTTTTTTGAAGGCAGGAACAATAAATACATATGCTTATAAACAGAAAATGTTTCTGGAAGGCTATGCAAGAAACTAAGGCGCCCTGGTGGTGGAATGGTTAAGTGCTCAGCTGGTGGTTTGAACCCACCAGCTGCTTAGCAGGAGAAAAGACCTGGTGATCAGCTCCCGTAAAGATTTCAGCCTACAAAACCCTATGGGGCGGTTCTGTTCTATCCCATAGGGTTGCCATGAGTTGAAATTCACTCTGTGGCACACCACAGCAACTTACAAGAAACTGGTAACAGTGACTGCCAGTGGGGAGGGGCGCTGGAGGATAAAGGTAGGGCAAAGGCTTTGCACTACTGTATTTTTTTGCTATGTATATTATCGTTGAAGAAGTTCTGTGAAGAGTTTGTAATAACGTACCAATCCAAAACCAAACCAGTTGCCATCGAGTTGATTTTGACACATAGCAACCCTATAGGACAGAGTAGAATTGCCCCATAGGGTTTCCAAGGAACAACTAGTGGATTCAGACTGCCGACTTTTTGGTTAGCAGCCAAGCTCTTAACCACTGTGCCGCCAAGGCGCCTTAACAACATAGAACATATGAATATATATACACCCAAAACCCACAGCTGTTGAGTTGATTCCGACTGACAGTGACCCTATAGAACAGAGTAGAAAAGCCCCATACGGTTTCCAAGGCTGTAAATCTTTATGGAAGCAGACTACCACATCTTTCTCCTGTGGAGCGGCTGGTCTTTTCAAACCACTGATATTTCAGTTAGCAGCCCAGTGCTAAACCACTGCGTCACCATATGAAATGACAGCAGCAGGGTACAAATTCATCATAGGATTCCAGCCAAATATTATTTTTAACATATTTAAAAAATGAGAGTGGGAGGATATGTAAACGTAGGTGTTAACAGTTTTCTTTAGGTGATGGATTTATAATTTTTTTCTTTTCTCTCTACTTTTCTGTATTTTCCAAGTTTTCTATAATGATTTTATAATGTTTTTCTAGACAATATGACCTGTTAAGAAAACACTTGGTAAAACAGACACTTCACCAAACAGGACATTGAGGCAGGCAACAAACACATGAAAATATGCCTGTAATCATTAGCCATTAAAAAACCAACCAAACCCGTTGCCGTGGAGTCGATTGCTACTCATTGTGACCCTATTAGAGAGATGCAAATCAAAACTACAATGAGATACCGTGTCATCCCTACAAAAATGGCATGAATCTAAAAAACAGAAAATAACAAACACTGGCAAGGTTGTAGGGAGACTGGAACTCTTATACGCTGCTGGTGAGATTGTAAAATGGTACAACCACTATGGAAAACAGTATGGCACTTTCTCAGAAAGCTAGAAATAGAAATACCTTATGATCCAGCAATCCCACTCCTAGATATATATCCAAGAGATACAAGAGCAGTGACACAAACAGACATATATGCACATGTTCATTGCAGTACTATTCACAATATCAAAAAGGTGGAAACAACCTAAGTGCTCATCAGCAAATGAATGGATAAACAAATTGTGGTACATACATACATTGGAATACTATACAACTATAAAGAATAATAATGAGCTCTGGAAACAACATGGATGAATCTGGAAGACGTTAATACTGAAATAAGTCAGTCACAAAAGGACAAATATTTTATGGTCTCACTATTTTAAGAAGTCAAGAATAGGTATACACATAGAAAGGAACATTCTTTGATGGTTACCAGGGATGGGAGGGGGAATCACCTTCTAGATAGTAGACACCTGTTGTTTTTGGTAATGGGAAAGGCAATACCAAATATGGGTCAAGTGTGCACAACTTGACCAAGGTAAATGAGGACACTAAGAAGTACGCAAGGAAAAAGGACAATTTAGGTAAATGCTATAACATATACAATTTTGCAACAACAGTACTAACCAAAAAATATGTATGTGGTTATATAGGTAGTTATGTATGCATGTATGTGTATAGGAAGGCATATGCGAGTAAATGTGAGTACATGTATGGGTGTGTCTGTATGCATAGGTATATACATGTTAGTGCTGCATACACATACGTATAATAAAGCACATAGGGGGAACAGTTACGGACACTTCTTAGATACAACCAAACACCTCACAACCTGGTTTTCTGGGTTAAAAGGCTTAGAACCATAGTCTTGTGGCATATGTCAGTTGGCATAACATAGTTCATGAAGATAAGGTAACTGTTGGTCTGGAGCAAAAGAGAAAGAAGAAAACTAAAGACTCAGATAAGAAACTAGTCCATAGGACTAATAGCCCATGCGAACCATGGCCTTTTCTAACCTGAGACCAGAAAAACTACCGTATTTTTATGCAAATAATGCATGGCTTCTACATTTGTTTACCAACCTCGCCCTCTCCCTGTTAGGTATTTTCATAAGTGCCACTGTGCCAATTATTTTCATGTGTTCCTGTAAAAAAAAAAAATTAGCATAGCAAGCTTAAAAAATACCTCACTGGGAGAGGGGACGGTTGGCTAACATGTAGAAGTCCGTGTTATTTGCATAAAAATACTGTTGATGATGCCCAGCTACCACTACTGACCGTTCTGACCAGGGACACACTAGAAGGTCCTGGATAGAATGGGAGAAAAATGTAGAATAAAATTCAAATTCCTAAAAAAGGCCAGACTTACTGGACTAATAGAGACTAAAGGAACCCTTGAGACTATTGCCTTTAGTTACCCTTTGAACTTGGAACTGAAGCTGCTCCTGGAGGTCTCCTTTCAGCCAAATAATAGATTGGTTTATAAAATAAACAATATCACCCATGAGTAACGTGCTTCCTTTAAACAATAACTATGTAAGACTAGATAGTCAGCATTTACCCAGAAGCAAAAATGAGAAGGCAAGGAGGGGAAGGGAAGCTAGATCAATGGAAAAAGAACAAACAGTATGGAAATAATGAGAATGCTGACACATTGTAAAAATTGTCACCAATGTCACAGAACAATTTGTATAAAAATAGTTAAAGGGGAACCTAATTTGCTGTGTAAACTTTCACCTAAAACAAAATATTTTTCAAAAAATGCTTGGTAACATTCTTTATAGTTAAAAATTACTCTCTGTCACCATCCACTCTCTCATCCCCCTCTCCCAAAAAGTGGAAGTACTGTGTAGAAAATTCCAGTCATTATAGTTCTTATTCATCAATATATAAATAACAAGAGGCTTTGGGTATATAAAATATGGTCCAGTGTACTTCATTTGGATAGGAGGCAGTTTTCCTCCATTGTGCTAGAGGAGCAGGCTAGAGGAAAATAAAAAGCCATGCCCACTTACCTGCCATGGTGCCTTTTTTGTTTCAGTGGTCATATCCTTGTTTAGTCTTATTTCAAGCTGTCATTTTCTGTAGTAAGATGTCCTAGACTGTTTCAGGCAATATTTCATGATCTTTCTGTACTTTTGTTTTTTGTTTTTAGAGTAACTGCTCAAAGACTTGCCCACTTGAACAAGTGCTTGATGAACTTTAGGCTCGGGAATTTCAGCTATCAGAAAAACCCTTTGAAATTGGGAGAGCTTCAGGGAAATCACTTCACTGTTGTTCTCAGGTAAAGAACTGTGGATCAGAAAGACCCCAACGAGGGTCTTGCCGGGTCACCTTGACTCTGTTCATAATGGTCGTTAATGAGGTCCTGGTTCATTGGTACTAACAGGCTTGGCAGCCAGGGAAGGCACAAGGGGGCCTGATAGAGCTCGGAAAGCAAATGCTTGTGTAGTTTTTGTACTGACAGTCCTACCCTCTGACAACCCAGCACAACTTTGAAAAGAAGCCACCTCCCTCAGATACTTCGCTGAATGAGAAAGATCCCTCAGGGGGCAGAGAGAAAGCTTGTGCAGGGGGTGAGGAGAGGGAAGGGAAGCCAAGTCAGAGTCGTCTATGATACATATCCCTGAATCGTTTGACTGTACATCTTTTTCTCTCTGGGTCATTTGGACCTCTACAGAAATATAACAGGAACTGATGAGCAAGTACAACAAGCCATGCACTCTCTTAAAGAGATTGGATTTATTAACTATTATGGAATGCAGAGATTTGGAACTACAGCTGTCCCTACGTATCAGGTTGGAAGGTTTGTATGTAATTTCTTAACATTAATCAAAATGATCTGTCTTACAAAAAAAGAAACAGGTTTGGTTTTAACTATTTCTAGATGCCCTTGTGTCTAGGGTGAATGAATCACTTTATCTCTTTGTTTGGATGAATGGCCAACTGATCCACCAAAAAAAAAAAAACAAAAACTTGTTGTCATCAAGTCGATTCTGACTCATAGTGACCCTATAGGACAGAGTAGAACTGCTCCACAGGGTTTCCAAGGAGCGCCTGGTGGATTAGAACTGCCGACCTTTTGGTTACAAGCCATAGCTCTTAACCATTACACCACCAGGGCTGGAACTGATGCACAGCTTCATTTTAATTTTTGTTCTGGTTTAAGATAATATATGCACAAGATAAAAACTTCAGAGAGTTCGGGATGTAGCCTGAAAAGTAAGTTTTCCCCTCATACTTGGTAGCCCATCTAGAGGTTCCTTTTTACTTTTTAACAGGTAAATCTTGGTTCACAGTAAAGCTGTATCAATCTTTGAATTCCAGATTTGATTCCAGATTTGAGCTGTAAGAATAATTGTGTGAAAATAGCCAAGTCCTAGCCAGAGCAATAAGACAAGAAAAAGAAGTAAAAGGTATCCAGATTGGAAAAGAAGAATTATCTCTATTTGTGGATCATACGATCTCATAAATAGAAAACCCCGAAGAGTCTACAAGAAGACTTCTAGAGCTAGTAGAGGAATTTAACAAAATTTGCAGGGTACAAGGTCAACAAACAGAAATCAGTTGGGTTTCTGTACACCAGCAGTGAGAAGTCTGAAAGGGAAATTAGGGAAACAGTTCCATTTACAATAGCATCTAAGAGAATAAAATACCTAGGAATAAATCTAACCAGGGATGTGAAGGACTTATACAGCGAAAACTATAACACAGTACTGAAAGAGATTAAAGAAGACTTAAGTGGGAAGATGTTCCATGTTCATGGATTGAAAGACTTAATACCGTTAAGATGTCAGTATTACCTGAGATAATTTATAAATTCAGTGCAATCCTGATCAGAATTCCAACAGCCCTCATTACAGAAGTAGAAAAAGCAATCCTCAAATTTATATGGATTGGTGAAAGATAGCAAATAGCTAAAAGCAATGTTGAAAGAGAACAAAGTAGGAGAACTCACACTTCCTGATTTTAAAACATATTATACAGCTACGGAGCCCTGGTGTTGCAGTGGTTAAGAGCTATGACTGCTACCCAAAAGGTCGGCAGTTCAGATCCACCAGCCACTCCTTGGAAATCCTTTAGAGCAGTTCTACTCTGTCCTATAGGGCCATTATGAGTTGGAATCGACAGCAATGGGTTTGGTTTTTTGGTTTTTTTTTTTTTCTTTTTGTATATAGCTATAGTAATCAAAACAGCCTGGTACTGGTTTAACAGTAGACATATAGACCAATGGAATAGAATTGAAAGTCCAGAAATAAACCCACACATCTACTTCTAACATTTTAATTTTTAACAAGGATACTAAGTCCATTTGATGGGGGAAAAAGAGTCTCTTCAATAAATGGTGCCTGGAAAATTGGATTTCCATGAGCAGAAAGATGAAACAGGATCCATGCCTCACACCATACACAAAAACAAATACAAAATGGATTAAGGACCTAAATGTGAAAACTAAAACTATAAAATTCATAGAATTAAAAGCAGGGGCAATGATGTCAGGCCTAGCTTTTAACAGTAGATTATCTGATATAATAACAGAAGCACAAACAGCAAAAGACAAATAAATTGGGCCTCATAAAAATTAAAAACTTTTGTTCATCAAAAGACTTTACCAAATAAGTGAAAAGATAAGCTACCAGCTGGGCAAGTATCTTCAGAAACCATATATCCGACAAGAATCTAATAACCAAAATATATATAAAACTTCAAGAACTTAACAACAAAAGACAAAAATAACCTGATCATAAAATGGGCAGAGGACTTGAATAGACATTTCACCAAAGAGGATATTCATGTGGACACCAAAGACGAAGCTCAGTGTGGTTAACCATCAGAGAGTTGCAGATGCAAACCACAGTGAGATACTATTTCTCTCCCACTAGGATGGCTAAGATTAAAAAAAACTGAAAATAACAGATGTTGATGAGGATGTGGGGAAATTGGAACCCTTGCCCATTGCTTGTGGAAATACAAAATGGTACAGCCATTATGGGAAACAATGCACAGCAGTTCCTCAAAAAACTAAAAATAGAACTACCATATGACCCAGCAATTCTGCTCCTAGGTATATACCCAAAAGACTTGAAAGCAGAGATGCAGAGACTTATATACTGATGTTCATCATAGCACCATTCACAATAGCCAAAAGGTGGAAACAACCTAAATGCCCATCAACAGATGAATGGATAAACAAAATGTGGTAATACATACAATGGAATACTACTCAGCTAGGAGGAGAAATGAAGTCTTGATACATGCTGCAGTATGGATAGACCTGGAAGACATTGTGCTAAGTGAATAATTATGCAAGCCCGCTGCTATGTCTCCTGCCGGTCTCCTGATTCTGCTGCCTCTGCTGCTGCTGTTTCTCTGCCCTGCTTCTCACCGTCTCTTGACATCTCCAGCGTTACAGCTGTCTCTTTCTCCCCCTCCCTCTGTCTCTTCTCTCTCTCTCTCTCCCTCCCTTTCTCCCTCCCTCTCTTCTCTCTCTCTCTCCCCCTCTCTTTCTCTCTCTCCCTCTCTCCCTCTCCTGGGTCTAGGAAGTTGTTGGCACAGCGATCCTGGGTCCAGAGGACATTCTCCATTCCTGTCTCTTCTGCTTGGTAGTAGTTAGGTCCCCCTCTGCTCTGGGATTGGCTCTCTTTATAAGCCTAGTGAGATGGTAAAACTGACCAATCCCCTCATTTGGGTTCCATACACCTTATTTGCATGGTCCCACCACCACAGGGTTCCATGCACCTTATTTGCATTAGCGGCAAGCTACCCAATCCCCTTGGTGGACCACAAGCATCTTTTTTGCGTAGTCCCACCCCAGTCATTGTATGGAAATCACAAAGACTATGGCTAGAACAGGCATATTAAGTAATTCACTGCACTGTAGATACAGAAAATATAACTACTGTGTGGCAAAAGAATAGCATAATAGAACGTAAAGGAAAAATTAACTTATAGATGTATCAACAAAGTCTTGAAAACACACAATAAAGTGTTAATTCTGGTTTATTTCTTAGAGGCTGGGTAACAAATAACCTTTCTTATGTATTGTTTAATTTTTGATGTCTTTTTCTGTGTGTGTTGTTGACAGGTTCTTTGTTCCACTTAATTTTCTGTGCTGAGTTGTTTTTCTTTATTTTCTTTTCATCTTTTTCATTGTTGTTGATTTTGTATTTGCTGAATCTTTATGTTTTTCTTGTTTTTTATTTTAATGTGTAGGATTGTTAGTTTCCTTTGTGGTTACCTTAATATTTACCCTTATTTTTCTAAGTTTAAACCAGTCTTTTATTTCTTTATATTGCCTTGACTTCCTCTCCATATGAAAGATCTATGACTACATTTTTTAGTCCCTCTTTTTTGTTTTAATGTTGTCATCTTTACATAGTAATGTCTCTGTTTCCCTATTTTCAGGATTTTAGCTTTGATTTATTTTTATGACTTCCCTATCTGGGTTGATACCTGGTGGTTCTGTCCTGTGTTCTAGTCTTGGGTTGTTATCTGATGTTACTGATTTTCTAAGCAGAGGACTTCCTTTAGTATTTCTTGTAATTTTGGTTTGGTTTTTGCAAATTCCCTAAACTTCTGTTTATCTGGAAATGCCCTAATTTCGCCATTATATTTGAGAGACAGTTTTGCTGGCTGTATAGTTCTTGGCTGGCAGTTTTTTTTTCTTCAGGGCTTTATATTTGTCATCCCATTGCCTTTTGCCTATATGGTTTCTGCTAAGTAATCTGAGCTTAGTGTTACTGATTCTCCTTTGTAAATGACTTTTCGTTTATCCCTAGCTGCTCTTAAAATTCTCGCTTTATCTTTGGTTTTGGCAAGTTTGATTATAATATGTCTTGGTGACTTTCTTTTGGGATCTACCTTATGTGGGGTTTGATGAGCATCTTGGATAGATATATTCTCATTTTTCACAATATCTGGGAAGTTTTCTGCCAACAAATCTTCAACAGTTCTCTCTGTATTTTCTGTTATCTGCCCTGTTCTGGTACTCCAATCACTCATAGGTTATTCCTTTTGATAGAGTCCTACATAATTCTTACGGTTTCTTCATTTTTTTTTAAACTCTTTTATCTTATTTTTTCTCAAATAAGTTGATGTCAAGTGCTTTATCTTCCATCCCACTAATTCTGACTTTCATTGCCTCAGTTCTGCTCCTGTGACTTTCTATTGAGTTGTCTAATTCTGAAATTTTATTGTTAATTTTCTGGATTTCTGATTGCTGTCTCTCTGTGGATTCTTGCAGCCTGTTAAATTTGTCATTATACTCTTCTCTCATCTTCTTAAGTTTCTCTATTTGTGTGTTCCTTGGCATGTTCTGCATTTTGCCTGATCTCCTTTCTGATCTCTCAAAGAATTCTGTATATTAATCTTTTGTATTCTACCTCCATGAATTCCAAGAAGTTCTCTTCCTCTGCAAGATTTCTTGATTCTTTGTTTTGGTGGCTTGCTGATGCCATCATGGTCTTCCTCTTTATGTGGTTTGATATTGATTGTTGTCCCAAGCCATCAATAAGTTATTATATTTGTTTATTTTATGTTTGCTTACCATGTCCTAGCTTCTTGTTTTGTTTTGATGTGCCCAAATAGGCTACTCGTGTGAGCCAGTTTGATTATTGGCACCTTTGAAGCTCTAACGTCCTATCACCAGGTGGTTACATTTGTTATTGGGTATGTGAGCCCAGAAGTCTGTTTACTTTTCTTGTATGGATTCAGCTCAGGTGTCTAGGTAGTCGGTCACCAAGTGTATGGTGCAGGCTCTCACCTACAGTCCTAGACAGGCAGGGATAATTGCTGTAGGCACAGGTATCTTGCTGCAGTAGTGGGTCCCGTGCTGAGCAAGACAAGGGGCCGACGGCTGCCTCTGGGTGTCTGGGAGGAAAGTGTGTCCTTGTTTCCTAGAGCGCATAGGTGGTTAGGTTTTGCAGCCAGACTATGGGCACCCAGTGCTGTTGGCTGTAAGGAGTGGGAGACACCACTTATTCTTGGACCCATGTCACTGTGGTTAGGTGGCATGGGTGGAGCCACCAGTCCTCAGGCCCCTGATGTGGGTAGGTGAGGACCTTGCTTAGTGCCACTTTACCACATAGCTGATACAGTTGAAGTTAGGCTTCAGGTATATACCCTGTTGTATCATGGTGACGAAGGCCTACACTGTTGAAATGGGACCACACAGGTCTATTTGGGGGTGAAAGGCATTCAAAGCTTGTGGACCCCATATGTCTGTGCCTAGGCAAAGGAGCTGTGCCTACCCTTAGTTCCCGGCTGTCTTAGTCATCTAGTGCTGCTATATCAAATACCACAAGTGGATGGCTTCAACAAAGAGAAATTTATTCTCTCACAGTCTAGTAGGTTACGAGTTCAAATTCAGGGCATCAGCTCCAGGGGAAGGCTTTCTTTCTGTGTTGGCTATGGAGGAAGGTGCATGTGATGCATCGGTCTTTCCTTGGTCTGGGAGCAACTCAGCACAGGAACCTCAGGTCCAAAGGACTCGCCCTGCTCCCGGTGCTGCTTTCTTGGTAGTATGAGGTTCCCACGTGTCTGTGCTTGCTTGTCTTTTATATCTCAAAAGAGATTGGCTTACGACACTATCTAATTTTGTAGACCTCATCAGTATAACTGTCACTAATCCATCTTATTACATCATAGTGATTGAATTTACAACACATAGGGAAATCACATCACATGATAAAATGGTAGACAGTCATACAGTACTGGGAATCATGACCTAGCCAAGTTGACAGGTATTTTTGGGGGACACAGTTCAATCCATGATGCCAGCTTAGGGGAGCTGGCAGATTATTTTTTCCTGTTTATTAATTTGTTCACTCTCCAAGACCAGGAGAGTGGCTCAGGCTGCATGTCGGGTCCTACTTCCATCCCAGGGAACTCAGCAATCGCTGAAGCCAGCCCAGGACCCATTGCAGAAGGGGCAGGGGTCAGGTAAATGGGAGAGAGGTTTTTCCCAAAGGGGATGTTTTTTAATCCTCATGGTAGGTCAGATGTATGTATTTATCTTTTCCCAATTGAGCACCACTTTTCACTGGTTCTGGAGGCATGAGTAGACTCTCTGCCGCTGGGTCTCTCCCAGTGTGGAACATGCCTCCCAAGTGCCACTGCTTGCCTCACCTCGCACACCAGCCGATCTGGCCTGAAGGATGCCAGCTCCTGCCAGGTCAGATCTGGCAACTCCTTGCTGCTTCTGAACCGCTCTCCTTCCCTCTATCACTCAGTCCAATTCTTCAACTTTACCTTTGATGTTCGGGGCTCCTAGGTTGTCGTATATAATCGATTCACTTGCTTTTTCAGGTCTTTGTTGTAAGAGGGACCACAGGAAGCGTCTAACTACTCTGCCATCTTGGCCCTGCCTCTCCTGTATTAATTTTTAACAAGCATGTATAACTTTTATAACCATCAAAGTAAAGATATATCCATCTTGGCAAGAGTAGTAGAGAAGGATAAACTCTATTTATGCTGTTTGCCTAGGCAGGAAGGTACTTAACATAGGGGGAAGAATTATTGAGAATTTCAAAAAAGTTTTGGCACATAAAGACATAACTTTGATTTATGCAGATAATGCCTTGTATAGCAGCTTACAGCATGACTGACTAATTTATCCTATTACAGCATTTTAAAACTAAAATAATTAAATGTTATGAGTGAGCATTATTTTATAGTCTTAATTTTTTTCTCTTTTTTAAAAAATTCTTTTGGCATTTACATTTGAAATACATATCTTTACACTGCTGTTAAGTTTCGTGAAAATATGAACTTGATATGATTTGTTGACTCATCAAAGATTTGGGCATATTAAATTCATCTTAATGCAAAATTAAGTAAAACAAATACTGTGTTTAATTTTAGAGCTATACTACAAAATTCCTGGGCTGAAGTCATGGATTTAATATTGAAACCCCGTTCCGGAGGTGAGAATAAAATTCATGTTAAGAAAAAAAATAGAATATATTGCTAGGTATTCATGGAATTGCTTTGAATAAAAGTATATGGCAAATTGGGATGTAGTTATTTCAGAATTTTCTTTATTTTTACAATAAAATGAGAAGTGTGATTTATATTTATGTTTTTCAGGTTTTATGTATATGTTAGAGATTTGTAATCTGTGCTCTGTTTTTAGCTCATCTAATTTATTAAATGAATAAATATATTCCTTTCCTTTTCTCCATGCAGTACTAAATCTCAGAAAATATAGGGATCCAAACAAGAGTCCATTTGTGGTTTTTTCCCACTAAAGCCATGGTGTAATTGATTATAAAACATGGTAAAACACCTTAAGGATTTTTAGTTTAAAGAGTTCATTAAAACTTTTCCCGGAAAGTGTCTTTAAAACCATACTGTGTGAAAAAGAATTTAATTAGTACTTTGTAAATTGTCAAAATAATTCTGTCTCCACTTTAGGTAATTGTTCATTTGCTAGCTAAAAAGAGATAAAATTGTCTAATTTTAAGAAAAGTAACTCATTAAATTTGACAATACTATGTTAAAAGAAAGTGAAGGTCGGAGGGACTATCAAGCATTTGTTTTATGATTAATCAGCTATGATAATGAGCAGTAATTGGCTTTAAATCCTAGATTGGGTAGCACAAAGCCACATATAGTTCTGTAAACTTCATAGATTTTCTATCTTTTCACTTCCTAATCACTGCTCTCTGGTGACAGAAACTATTCACGGCACCTATATTAAGATAATATTTTCCAGTTTTGTCTCCTCTTTGAAGCATATTGCATTATGGAAGTCTGTCTATTAGATACATTGTTTAATCACAGCTTTTTTTCTTCCCAGCCGAAAAGGGGTACTTGGTCAAGTGCAGGGAAGAATGGGCGAAAACCAAAGACCCAGCTGCTGCCCTCAAAAAACTACCCATCAAAAGGTGTGTGGAAGGGCAGCTGCTTCGAGGACTTTCAAAATATGGAATGAAGAATATAGTCTCTGCATTTGGCATAGTGAGTGCGATTTGTGAAGTCAGGCAATGGCTTGAGGTGGTTTAATGCTTTTTTTGGTTTGTCTTTAAAGATTTTACTAAGTTTTGAGAGAGCTAAAGGTATAAATAAGGATCCTTCAGTGATCTGTGAGAGGTGTTTTTACCTGAGTCATCCTTGTTCAGACCCTAAATGTTGATGGGAGTAGGGGAAGAGGGGGCAGTACTGGCAGTAATTATTAATATGGAGGGCATGAGGAAAGCATTCCATTTACAATTTAAATTAAGTGTGTTGGTATTTGATAAATTTATAATCCATTGTAGAGGCATTTCTTAATCATTCTCTGTCATCAGAACAGTATACTGCCTTTTAAGAGGGTTGGGTATAAGCAAGCTAAATAGTTGCATTTTAGTTTGGTTTCTGCACGATGGTTAGAGTGCGGAGCATAGCATCTTGGCAAGTGTAGCCTGTATCAGTATTTAGATATTAGTAATTCAGAATCCTTTAAAGTTTAACCCTTAAACTTAAGTCTTAATCTTCCCAGATGTAAACAAAACATAACAATGGGATTCTTGCTGCATGAAATTGTCAGTTCAATCATTTAGGTTTTCTCCTTCCTTAGAATAATGAGGAAGAAAGCACTGTTAGCTCTATAATTGATTTGTAAATTCCTTGAGTTTGAAATCCGTATCTTTGATTCAGGCTATGAATTCATACCGTTTGCTTTATTTGAATGAGTTTGTTCATTGTGGATACAAAACAGGACCTGCTACAGCTGCTGGTGATTGCTAACACCCTTTAGTATGAGGGGTTCTATCTGTAAAATTGGATGCTGCATATCAGTGACCTGTTTCTACAGGCTGTTAGGAAAATGACAGATTTAAGATATGAGTTTCCTGTATCAGGATCACTACTAAGCAAGCAAGATGTTTTGTAAAGTACAGTACTTTTTATATTTGGAATATCTATTTATTTTCTTGCCTGTTTTTTTTTTTTCCTCCCCTCCAGATACCAAGAAATAACCGCTTAATGTATATCCATAGCTACCAAAGTTACGTGTGGAATAACATGGTGAGCAAGAGGATAGAAGAGTACGGGCTGAAACCTGTTCCAGGCGACCTTGTTCTCAAAGGAGGTAAAAAGGCTAAGTATTGTCTTTATTCTGCCAGACTAGGATGCAGTTATTTGTCACTAGTGGTTTTAAAATTCACACTGGCTACTAGTTGAGAAAAAGAGATATGTCTGAGATGAGAGGACAGTGTAAGCTCAGAACGACTAGTTTGTGTCTTTAATTAAAAAAAAAAAAAAAATTACATATATACATCTTCTCTGAGTAAGCTTTCTGGGCCTCAGTTTTCTCAACTAAAATAAGATCTGGGCTAAATGATGGTGTATTGGTTTCACAGGGCTGCTGTTACAAAATACTACAACCTGGGTGGCTTAGAACAGAAACTTATTGTCTCATAGTTCCTTAAGCTAGAAGTCTTCTAGGCCATACTTCCTCGGGAAGCTCTAGGGGAAGATCCTTTCTTGTCTCTCCCAGCTTTTGGTAGCCTCAGGCCTTTCTTGGCTTGTAGATGCATCCCCACATGGCTGTCCTTCGCTCTCTGTCTCTTTTATAAGGACTCACATTGGATTAGGACCCACCCTACTCCAGCATGACCTCATGTTAACTGACAACATCTTCAGAGACTCTGTTTCCAAATAAGGTCCCATTCACAGGTACCAGGGGTTAGGACTTCAACATATCTTTTTGGGGGACACAGTTCAATCCATAACAGCTGGCTAAACTCCCTTTCCACGTACTGATTTGGGTCTAGCAGATAGTTCTGTACACTCCTGTAACCTTAGTCTGTTAGCTTGTTGGTCAGTTTTAAAAGTTTCTCTAAGTTGACACCAGACAGGAATTCACTTTACACGTGGGCCATGATATAATGATCATTTGTTTATTGCATGCTCTGTGCCAGAAATGATCAAAAACTAGACCTGAAAATCCCTCTGCTGTTGAGCCCTTACTGTATGCCAGACATTGTATTAAGCCCTTTACCTATGTCTTCTAGTTTGAAGCTCACAGTATTACTCTGAAGTAAATATTATCTATTTTTCAGATGAGATGCAGTAACTTGCTCAGGGTTCCACATCTGGTTAAAAAAAGAAAAACCTGGGATTCAGAGTCATGTTTGTCTGATTCCAAAGTCCATGTTCTTCTGGCGTGTCTGACTGCTTCTCGGTTAGCTGAATACACGCACTGCTCGTCTGCAGGCTGCTGTTGTTAGTTGCCATCAAGGCGATTCCAACTCATGGCGACCCCATCTGCAGGCAGGCCCTGTAAATCACTAAGATTTTTAATTTCTTTGTTCAGAAATTTTAATTACTTTTTTCCTGGATTATTTTTTCCTCATCCAATATCGATTGCGTCTAGTGTGTTTTAACGTCCAGTGTGCCCCTACGTTTTAGCCTCTAAATACAGGCTAAACAGGCTAGGCTGGTTTTTAAATTGTTCTTTCAGCAAAGAGCCATTCAGTGATGGCTTTCCAAATAGTATTTTGCAGTGTGTTTAAGAAAGAAATAGGAGCTCGTTTCAGACGTTCCCAGAGGACGAAGATGCTGCTCAGAAATAAGTGTTTTTAATTTTCATTAAAAATTCTACTTTCTCAAACCTTGGTCTTAATTTCTTGGATGGGGTAGAAAAGGCCAAAGGGCTTAGATTCTAACTTAATTTCCTTAAGCTTCCTAGAATTCTGAACCTATGCCAGTGTGCACTTCCAACTTGCATATATGTGTATAATTTTTAGAAGATTGAATTCATGAAAATACTGCATATTTCCTTAATTTGTTGTTCACTTGTGAATTTATAGCCACAGCCACCTATATTGAGGAGGATGATGTTAATAATTATTCCATCCATGATGTGGTAATGCCCTTGCCTGGTTTCGATGTTATCTACCCGAAGCATAAAAGTAAGTTCTCCGTGTGGGGAAAATAGTTAAAACAAAGTCTAACATAGTTAAGCCACTGGCTGCTGAGAGTGGAGACAGAAAAAAATCAGTACTTTAAATGTAATTTTAGAACTTCGATTTCCGTAAGACTAGAAAAAATGTGACTAGTTATTTATAAGTCTTCTAAAAAGGGTTGCATTCATATGGATAATTTAAAATAAGAAATGAATAGTAGAAATGGTGGTGTTATTATAGTTGTTATTGACATTATTTTAATTTCTGAAATTCATTACTTCATGTAAGGATGGAGAAGGGTTTTGTAATAGCCATTGAGAAAGTGGATGGGTAATTTTACTTTCACGTTGCTTTTTTAACTTTCTTTTTTTAAAACCATATAAATAATAGGGGTTAGTGGTGTTTAAAAAGTCAATGAGTGCAGAAGTTTATAAAGTGAAAAGTTAGAATTCTCTACCCTTATTTCTCATTCTCAGAGACTGTTAGGAATTATTCCTGTTACCTTCATGGACGCCATTGGGGGAAAAATTGGAACTTTTAATTGTTCACGGATTCAGAAATTGGAAAAAGAAAGCAGCTCTGACCAGCAGAACCAACTTAGTGGGACTGACTCTGGAAGTTTCTGCTTAGCCAGGGGTGGTCTGCCAGTGGTGTTTTCCCTGTTAAAGTATCTTTTCTCTCAGGAGGCCTGAATCATCTTACTTGTCAATGCTGTATTCCTAGAAGTTTTAATTATTTTAGAAAGATTAGGATTAATAATCCTTTTTCGATAATGTAAGTACTTGTAGAGGCATTAAATATTAAGCTATTATTTCCATGTTGATTAATCAAGTTATTGTACTCCTAATACTTACATGGTTGACTTCACCAAGGGAAAAGGAGTTGAGGGGAGAAGCGGAAAGTCAATTAAAAAGACAGATAAGGGAGAAGGCATGGTCTGCCTGCCCTGGGTGGAATGGCACAGTGAGGAACCTAGAGAGCAGCCCCACAAACAAGCAAGAAGGAAGGCAAGTAGATGTTAAAAGCCACACTTTACCTCTTTCCAAGAAAGAAAAAGGAAACATTCTTTCGTCTTTTTTTCTCTCACCTCTCAGGATCAGGAACTCCGGCTAGTACCTGATAGAACATAAGTTCAGCAGGGCCTTTGACAGAGCCATTCATGAAAACCTAGTGGCCAAGATGGGGGCTCATAGACTGGGTGGGTGGTAGTTCAGACACGTGGGTATGGAACACATACACACCTGGTTTGTTAACACCTGGTGCGTCAATCAGCTGTGACTGATGGTCCTTAAAGTGTGTGGTGAGGGATCTTTCTTTGACCTTGTTCTATCCAACATTTTTTATGAATAACTTGAATAAACAAATCTGCTTATCATATATGTGAGTAATGTAAAACAAAATAGTTAATGTTAACTATATGGAAAATAAGTATCTAAAAAGAACTATAGAAGGCATTTAATAGAGTTAAATGTAAATTCTCATGTTTATGCTCAAAGAGCAAATATATAAATAGAAAAAATCCAGTTTTATAGTAGTCTGTGTAAAAAATATCCGGAGTGACGCTGTTGAACATAAGCCTGTACCCTGAGGCAAACAGGGGGCTTCGTGGGGAACGCAGAAATATCAAAGGAGAAGCAGTTGAGGGAACCAGTTTGGCCTAGAAAAGGTATGGTTTAAAGATCCAGTACGTACTAATACATGTGGGAGAGGGCAGAGTTAATCTGCTGTATTCCAAAGCAATCAGCAGAAGTTACAAGAAGACATATTTCAGCTTGATATAAGAAGAACTTTTCTAATAGTTGCATGCCTCACAAAGAAATAATATGCCTGTAAATGGCAATGTTCAAGCAAAGGCTGGATGATTTTCTCCCTCGGGTGTTATAAATAAGATTTCTACATCAGATGCAAGGGTGAACTAGATGGTTTTCCAAGGTCCCTTATTTTTATGCATTTATTTATGACTGCGTTCTTCCAGGAAGAGTTTAAAGCATCTGTATATGGTCTCTTCCAACTCAGAGCACATATGTTTATAGTTTAGCAACTTCAGATAAAATGGCCTTTTGTAGCTAGCTTGGGAACCTTACACCATAGGTACTGTGCTGACTGCAAACAGGCAACTTACAAAATGGCCAAACCTAAGCTGGAGACATAGTCCTAGTAGTAAGTTTTGATTCTAGAGAACAGATTTTGAGTTGTAGATTGGGTTGACTAGGGTGATCCATGGAGCCCTCATGGCACAGTGATAAGAGCTCAGCTGCTAACCAAAAAGTCCGCAGTTTGGATCCACCAGCCATTCCTTGGAAACCCTGCAGGGCGGTTCTACTGTCCTATAGAGTTGCTATGAGTTGGAATCTACTCGACGGCATCGGGTTTCGTTTTTTTGTTTATGGTGATCTAAGTGAGCTTAAATTTATTCTGTTTGTAGCCTAGTTCAAGGTAACTTGCTGACATGTTGCATTCCAACTAACTTTGTATGTTTTCTGTTAGTTAGTGAAGCCTACAGGGAAATGCTAACAGCAGACAGTCTTGATATTGACAACATGAGACACAAAATTCGAGATTATTCCTTATCAGGGGCGTACCGAAAGATCATTATTCGTCCTCAGAATGTCAGCTGGTGAGTAATAGTCTGGAATGAAATAGAAATTAGTTACTATTTAAAGTTTTAAACTTCTGCTTTACATATATATTTTTCAGCTTAGAACTTGACACATAAATGCTTCATAAGTGCTAGTTGCTAGTTACTGTTGTTATTAATATTTTTGTCACTACTGCTGCGATTTGGAATTTTCAGATCAAGAAATAAATGGAGTTTTTTTGAATACAAATAGTGAAAATGACTTAGTTTTCATTTTTATTAACATTAAATTATTAGAGAACTGTGTAGAGAGTTAACTTTTTTCCTATTTCTAAAAACTGCGGTTTGCTTAGAATTATTCCTGTACAGAGTACCTTAATCAGAATTAGCTGTGAGCTGCAAAAACTAATCTGATTGTTTTAATGTCATGTTTCTAGAGCAAAAGAGATACCTGTATTAATCCATTTTAAAATGCTTTAATACCTAGTATTTTCTGAAGCTTTATTTGATAGTTTAAAAAAGCGAACCCTAAACTAGTTAGCAGATTGCCAGAACTGGCACATCCAGCATTATAAGAAATTGTGTATCTCTCTGTCATCCTTTTCTCTGGATTATGGGCAAGAGATCAGCAGAATTGGACCTTGTCTTCCCAACACCAGAAAGAAGTGCATCATTAATAATAAGATGTTGCTAGTAGTGATAACCACTCTGGAGAAAATGTTAATTTTATCGCATCTGGGCAAAGTGAAGTTTACTGTTGCGTACTTCATATTAAAAGAATTTCCATCCTAGAAGAGCATTTTGTGTTTTTTATATATGCTAGCGTTGTCTGTCATCTCGCTATATAATATTAAAAAGACAGTACTTATAAAATCTGACTGTTCTATTATTGAATAGTCCTACCTATAATTATTTACGTTAGACCTATATTTCCTTGCTAAATAAATGGTGCTGAACAACTTAGTACTTTTTATGAAAGTTCACATTCATACTAAACTCTTTGTGTGTTTTAAAGGGAAGTCGTTGCCTATGATGATCCTAAAATCCCACTTTTCAACACAGATGTGGACAACCTGGAAGGGAAACCACCACCAGTTTTTGCTTCTGGTACGTTTACTCAGTTGTCACCTCTTCTGACCCCTTAGCTATCAGAAACCAACCTGTGGTTGGTTGTTCGGCGCATCAGCCTAGGCCAAGACTGGAAGTGACTCTCTCTGTAGTGTGGGCAAGCCGGACCTTGCAGCAAGATCCCTCACGGGATCTTGAGGCAGAGCCCACTCCCAGAACTAGGATGAGTAGTAATTGTAATGAAGTTGCCAGAGGTCTGTAGGAACCAGGCTTAGCACAACATTTGCAGGATTAACTGTAGGGAGGAGTAGGCATCTTCATAAAGTCTTTGAGATCCTGAAACCAGGACCCTGTAGCTAAGCCTCTCTGTTACTGGGAAGCACTTGGCAAGGAACGGACTTCTGACCTGACCAACAGTCTTCCTCCAACAACCTCGAAAGCTTCCAGCTCATTTTGTCTGAGATTCTACCAGCGGTAGAATTTTATTCTTGTTAGCAAGCATACTCTTTTAAAATGTAAGTAACTGTAAAGAGGTAAAGCGAGCCTATCATACATAATACGGATAAATTTAATGAGGAGTCTTTCCTTCTGACCAAGTTGGAAGGAATTTTTATTTTGTGAAAGGATAAAGAGAAGTAAAATAAGAAGGGGTTAGAGGAAGAATAGTCCAATATTATAAGCGTGGGGACATGAAACACTCCTTAGGTGGAATTCCCAGGGAGGGGCACTCAGAAGGGCACCCCAGAGGGGAGCAGAGTCAGTACATAGGGGGCAACTTGTGCTAAAAGGTAGAGGCAGAGTGTAGAGACACTGTACCTCCCTCACAATTTTGTGTCATGCTGTCCAGGCCCAGCCTCCTCCCTCAACCCAGGGCTTCTCTTATTCTTCTTGCCTAACCCCTTGAGAAGCTACTATCTTGAGCATATATGTTGATATTGGCAGCTCACATAAGAATAAACTTGGCACACATAGAGGTATTTTTGGCCACATATGACTATATCCAAGAGTGGCAAGAGTCACAGGTGCATTACATTGAGCAAGTTGTGTTAGCAAGGACTTTAGTCCATAGAGGCACATTGAAAAGCTGCTTCACAACCAGTAACAACTGACATCTGTTTGAACTATAGACATTTCGGGTTGTGTTGGGGCAATTGAGGGAGGGAATTGTGGCAGTCCAGTTTAATCCTGTTTTCTGTAAGATTGTCTCTAACAGGGTAGCTAAAGACATTTGCTTCTCTGCACAATCAGAATCCCAAATAACAATGGCAAGTAAGAGGTACCTTTGAAAAGCAGGCCTTGGTGATGTTAAAGGAAAAAAAGGCTTAAGAGGCTAAAGATAAGGTGCTGAGTGGAAAAGTTCTACTGCCAATAGGGAATCTGATCTAGCACAGAGTCTAGGCTCTGGAGGATGAGGTTCAGGGAAGGAGAACTAGGCTAAGACTTTTGAAACCAGAAGGCCATGAACTGTCCCATACTGGGAATGTAAAGCCTCTGAACGTTACTGTGTGGCAAGTGACCTCGGGGCTGATCAGGTAGGTAGGCACCGGGCTGGCTGGAGGTAGTCCGCTGCAAATGTGGCCCCTCAGTCTTGTGACTAGAACGTCCAACTGCCTCTGCTGGCTAGAGAAGGTGACAGAGTCGGGATGATAGCATCCAGTAACGTGGTTCATTAGCTAGATAGGGTTATTTCCTGTTTCTTCCCATCTTTGCTGTTTGCCCCTCATGGTCAGCAAAAGCGCCATCTACAAAATAACTGCTAGGACTAAGGCCCTTAGAAAAGGATGCTGAGCTTTGACATCCCCAAAGCACATCCCTTCCAGCCTGCTTGCACCGGGCACCCTGTGAGACCTGCTAACCACAGGTTTTCTCTGAAGATGTCCCTTTCTCTTTGTGGTAACTAAGGAGCAGTCTGTATATGATGAACATGCAAAAAGTGGATGAATCAGCTGATGTCACTTTATTTTTTTAATAACAGCTTTATTGAGACATAATTCACATGCCATACAATTCACCCATTTAAAATGGACAGTTCAGTGGTTTTTAGTGTATTCATACAATGATGCAACCATTGCCGCAGTCATTTTAGAACATTTTCATCACGCCAAAAAGAAACCCATACCCTTTAGCAAGTACCCCCAGGTCTCTGTTGTATGGATCTACCACATTTTATTTACCCATTTGTCAACTGATCAACATTTGGGTTGTTTCCACGTTTTGGCTGTTATGCATAACGCTGCTATGAACATTCATGTACAAGTTTTTGTATGGACATATGTTGCCATTTTGGGGAGGCGGTGCATTCTTTGCCTAGGAGTACACACACAACAACAACAATGGTAACTTTATGTTTAACCTTTTGAGGAAATGCCAGACTGTTTTCCAAAGTGACTGCATCACTTTACGTTTCCACCAGCAACGTATGAGAGTTCCAACTTCTCGACCTTGTGCCAACTCTTGCCATTATCTGTCTTTCTGATTATAGCCATCCTAAAAAACCAAACCCATTGCCACCGAGTTGATTCCAACTCACAGAGACCCTAGAGGACAGAGGAGAATTACCCCATAGGGTTTCCAAGGAGCAGCTGGTGGGTTTGAACTGCTGACCTTTTGGTTAGCAGCCATAGCTCTTAACCACTGCACCACCAGAGCTCCATAGCCATCCTAGTGGGGGTAAAGTAATGTCTCATTGAGTTTTGATTTCTGTTTCTCTGATGGCTAATAATATTGAGCATCTTTACATGTGCTTATTGGCTATTTGTGTATCTTCTTTGAAGAAATGTCTTTTCAAATCCTTTGAACAACTATAAAGCAATTTATAGTTGGATTATTTGTCTTTTTGTTATTGTATTGTAAGAGTTATTTATAAATTCTAGGTAAAAGTCCCTTATCAGAAACGATTTGCAAATATTTTCTCCCATTCTGTGGGTTGTCTTTCCACTTTCTTGATGGTGTCCTTTGAAGCACAAAAGTTATTAATTTTGATGAAGTTCAGTTTATCATTTTTCTCTCACTTGTGCTTTTAGTGTCATATCTAAGAAACTCTTGCCTAATCCAAAGTCACAAAGATTTATGCCTGTGTTTTGTTTGTTTGTTTGTTTCCTCAGAGTTTTATAGCTGTTTGATCCATTCTCAGTTAATTTTTTATATGGTATGAGGTAGGGGGTCCGACTTCATTCGTTTGCATGTAGATATCCAGTTGTCGTAGCACAGTTTATTAAAAAGAAGTTCAACACTGAATTGTTTTGGCACCGTAGTCAAAAATCAGTTGGCCATAAATGTTAGGGTTTATTTCTAAACTCCCATTTCTATTCCATTGATCCATGTGTATCCTTGTGCCTATATCACACTGGTTTTGGGGGTTTTTTAATTGAATTTTGGTGAAAGTAGCCTTGGTGGTGCCGTCATTAAGAGCTTGGCTGCTAACTGAAAGGTCAGTAGTTCGAATCCACCAGCCACTCCTTGGAAACCCTATGGGGCAGTTCTACTCTGCCCTAAGGGTCGCTGTGAGTCGGAATCAACTCAACAGCAGTAGGTTTTTTATACACAGTAAAACAACTGAGAGATTCCCATTCAACAATTTCTACACATATTGTTCATTGACATTCGTTACATTCTTCACGTTGTGTCCATATTCTCATTATTTCCATTCTAGTTGTTCCATTCCCATTAACTTAATCTCAACTGCCCCCAAACTTCTCATCTATTCTTTAGAGTAACTGTTGTTATTTGATCTCATATAAATAATTTTTTATAACAGCACAGTACTCAAGGGTGACATTCTTTATTTTTAGGGCTAACCTTCTGTTTAGTTAAAAGGCGATTTCAGGGGATAATATTGTTTCAAGGTTTAAAGAGCATCTCAGGGCAATAATGTTGGGGATTCATCCCATCTCAGTGGGTCCAATAAGTCTGGATTCCTTGAGAGTTAGTAGTTCTGTACCACATTTTTCTCCCTTTCTATCAGGATCCATCTATTGTGACCCTCATCAGAACATTCAGTAGTGGTAGCCAATCACCATCTAGTTCTTCTGGTCTCAGGTAGGAGAGGCCGTGGTTCATGGAGGCAGTTTGTCCTGTAGATCGGTTCCTCCTCTGATTCTTGGGTTTCCTACTTTCTCTTTTGCTCCAGACAAATAGAGACCAATAGTTGTATCCTAGATGGCCGCTCACAAGCTCTTAAGACTCTGGACACTCCTCACCAAACTAGATATAGAACATAAACTTTATGAACTGTATTATGTCAGTTGACTGAATTGTCCCACAAGACCCTAAGTCTTCAAAACAAGAAAACTAATCCTGTGAGGTGACTGGTTATGTCTAAGAAGTATGAGCATCTGTAGCTCATATTTGTTTATGTGTATATATATTTTTTATTGTTGTTACAAAATTATATATAACATAGTATTTACCAGTAGATCCTTTTTTTTGTCTACAACTTGCTGTCATCAGTTACATTAGTCAAGCTGTGCATACTTCACCCACATTCGGTGCTACCTTTCCCTTCACCATAAACAAAAAGTGACTACGATCTAGAGAATGATTTCCCCTCTCCTCCCCGACCGCACCATAACCACCAATGAACATTAATCTTTGTATATATACCTATTCTTAACATTTCATCAAAGTGAGATCATAAAATATCTGTCCTTTTGTGATTGACTTAGTCCACTCAACATAATGTCCTCCAGGTTTATCCACATTGCAAGATGTTTTGGGTATCACATGGTTTTGATTATCATTGATTTGTAATAAGTTTAGCCATTTTGGCTCTTATAATTCTGTATGAATTTTAGAATCAGCTTGTCAATTTCTACAAAGAAGTCAGCTGAGATTCTGATAGGGATTGTGTTGAATATGTAGATCAATCTGGGAAGGAGTATTGCCATATTGGAGCCCTGGTGGTGCAGTGGTTAAGAGCTACAGCTGCTCAAAAGGGCCACATAAACCAGAGACTCCATCAGCCTGAGACCAGAACTAGATGGTGCCCAGCTACCACTAATGATCGCCCTGACAGGGAACACAACAGAGAGTCCCTGAAGGAGCAGGAGAAAAGTGGGGTGCAGAGCTCAAATTCTAGTAAAAAGACCAGAATTATTGGTCTGACTGAGACTGGAGGGACCCTGGAAGACATGGCCTCCAGACTCTCCATTAGCCCCAAACTAAAAGCATTCCTGAGGCCAACTCTTCAGACAAAGATTAGACTGCACTATAAGACATAAAATGATACTCATGAAGAGTGTGCTTCTTAGCTCAAGTAGATACATGAGTCCAAATGGGCAGCTCCCGTCCGGAGGTGAGATGAGAAGGCAGAAAGGGACAGGAGCTGGTTGAATGGACACAGGAAGTCCAGGGTGGAAAGGAGGAGTGTGCTGTCACAGTATGGGGAGTGCAACTAGGGTTACATAGCAGTGTGTGTATAAAGTTTTGTTTGGGAAACTAACTTGAACTGTAAACTTTCATTTAAAGCACAATAAAAATAATAAAAAGAGCTACGGCTGCTAACCAAAAGGTCAGAAGTTCGAACCCACCAGCCACTCCTTGGAAACCCTATGGGGCAGCTCTACTGTGTTCTGTAGGGTTGCTGTGAGTCAGAATTGACTTAATGGCAGTGAGTTTGGTTTTTTGGTTTTTATTGCCATATTAACAATAATGAGTCTTCCATAAGTGTGTTAAATCGAGAAGTATGAGTCCTCCAACTTGATTCTTCTTTTTCAAGATTGAGTTATTCCGAGTCCCTTGAGTTTTCATGTGAATGTTAAGATTAGCTTGTCAGTTTCTGCTGTTAAATTAACTTATTTTTAAACTGTTTTTTCTTGATTAAGCCATAGTTTCTTTTGCAATTTCATCTTCATTACTAGCATAACAGTTTGTGTTACCTTCCTAAGCATTCGTCCATTATTCTCCAAGTCAGTTAATTACCAGTGTGTTTGTTACCCATTCATTAAATTACTAAAGCTTTTTAGCACGTCTTTCCCAAGCACTCAGAATTGTAGACTTTCCTAAGTAAAGTGGACCACACTTTAGGTTTGTGATAACTAGAAGAGCAGCTTCTTTATCTTCCTGATCCCACTTATAATGCCAGGCCTCTCTTGAGAATTCTGAATTGGCAGGACTGAGAATAATGAGATCTGTTAAAGATGCTTACCCCCCACCCCGCAACCCTCTTAGCTTTTTAAGTGATAGGCATAATATAAACTTTTAAGCCTATATCGCAGTGTCTCACTGAATATCAACTGGCTTTGCTGAATATACAGTGCTTGGCTACTAACCAGAAGGTCAGTAGTTCGAATCCACCAGCCACTCCTTGGATATCCTATGCGGCAGTTCTGTCCTGTAGGCTCAGTATGAGTCTAAATCAGCTTGATGGCAACAGGTTTGGTTTCTGGTCTGCTAAATACAAAATGTCTCTGTATCATACTTACCTCAGGTTTCTTCCACATAGCATTCTGCCATGAAAGAATGTTTCCTCGTTTCTATGCAGCTTTGAAATGTTTTCACATACAAAAACAAGTTAAAAGCAAAAACTGCTCTTATAATCACCACCATGTTCCTTGGTTCCTGTTTTGTGTCTTGTCACCTTAGCTTCATAATTAGAGCTCTGTGACTAAAACAGTAAATTCCACTAAGAGTAAATGAAGGCTGTAGATCATTGAGTCCTTAGGTGGCACAAAGCGTTAAGTGCTCAACTACCAACCAAAAGGTTGGCAGTTTGAACCCACATAGATGTGCCTCGGAAGAAAGGACTGGCAATCTGTTTCCAAAAGGTCACAGCCTTGAAAACCCTATGGAGCAGTTCTTCTCTGCACACAAGGGGTCCCCATGAGTCAGAATCAACTCAGCAGCAACTGATTTGGTTTTTTCAGTTACAGATGGTTGTGATATTAGATGATTAAATCTTTCCCCCTCATTTGCTCAGAGTTAACAAGGGTAACTGAGAGTCCAGGAAGAATCTAAAAATTAAATTTGCATTCTCATTTGTTAGGTTTTATTTTTCTGTTTTCCCTTGTGCCCTAGGTTTTGTTTTCTTTTTAATTTATTTTATATGCATTTCTCTTGTGCTCTTCTGTCTTCTGCCCTTTTTATGAAGGTTCCCAAGTGGGATTGCTGTAGCCGATTACCTGGGTCGTACACTCACAGATCTCCTAAGTTCACAGTCTCATCCTCTGAGGGCTGCAGCTGGCCCCTGGGGAAGTGGCAGCCTGACACAGTTCTTTGTATTTGTATAGAGATTATATGGCTCTCCTCTCTAGTTTATCTGCAGCTGCTTTAGTTTTCTGACTGTTCTCTTCTTTCTTGCCTGGCAGAAGGCAAATACAAAGCTCTGAAGATGGATTTTTCACTTCCTCCATCTACATATGCTACCATGGCCATCCGAGAAGTGCTTAAAATGGATACCAGTATCAAGAACCAGACCCAACTCAATACGACCTGGCTCCGCTGAGCACCTTGTTCACAGATTAGAAAATGCACACATGTGTTGCTTACTGGCTTCCTGTTCATTTTTCTCTTAGTACAGACCCATATGTGGATTTTGAATCTTTGTAGTAAAAGATTGTTTGTACTTTTTCAATTTTTTTATTAGCTTAAATCGATGATTTGCAATGTTTGTACACACATACAAATCCTGAGGATCCTAACTGTAGCCCAGAGAATATAAAATTGGTCAGAATATATTTCAGGTGCTTCAATCATGGTATTACAATGCCAGCATTACTGGCATTATAATAATGAGAAAGGACTTTGGTTTAAAGTAGTAATTTTAGATGTTTGCTACATTCTTGAAGGACAACAGAAATGTTTAACCCATCCATGAATGGAGTACACAGCAATGCATTTTAAGACACAAATGCAACAAAACAAATCTTGACTATGGATAAATAATTTGAGAGCCCCTGCCTAAATATAAATACAGTTCTCATGCTTATTTAAATGATAATGAAACAGCTACAGGTTTATAAACACAGCAGGGATTGTCGTTATCTAGCTCATGTACCTGTACCAGGTTTAGGCAGGCATTTATAGACTTTTTAGTTCCAATAGCTTTTGCATTATATTATTGTCTTGCAGGAAAGTTGCATTGATAGGGCTTTTTTTCCTGATGTAAACATTTGCCACTGTTTTTATTAGTTAAGGTCTAATTTTTACTCTAGGTGCCTTTTATGTTCCGAACTCTTTTCACTGGTATTTGCCCAAAAATAAGTAATAGCAGGGAAGAAAACTTAAAAAATTTACAAGGGCTTCTCCTATCAGCTGCATTACCCTGTGTCACCAACAGCTTAGATAGTTCCATTTCAGGCATTGCATAAAATTTTCCTCTGGTGTGAAAGGATAAACATGCCTTTCTAAAATTATGTGACATAATTGTACCGATTTTTATTTTCTATCATTTCTAAAACCAAACATAATAAATATTTTTTAAAACTCCTTTCTACTCGTTAATGTTACTAAATCAGATATCTAAAACATTGCAAATGAGAATCTTTGCCTTAACTAAAGGCAAGGGACTGACGTGAATGAGGAACCCTGAGAATGGTGTTGATAACAAAAGTATGTCATCAGGTGTGAGGTATTGTGCAAATACTATGACGGAGTATCAGGTTTTATGAATAATGTACTGTGTTCACTGGATTCAAAGTTATCCTTCTAATAGCATCACTCACTTGCCTTCCAGTGTGTTTTCTGGAGTGGAAAAGAGAGGAATGGAGAAAAGCTAGCATACCAGGAACATCACACCGTTGAAGTGTGAATGACATTTGTCTTGTATCTGGCAGTGGAAGCAAGATTGAGAACTGTTTTCCAGGTCTTTCATTTTAATGATGTCCACCACACTGCTGAGGGTAAAAAAAAGGGTTAAAACGTCATGGTAAATTATCTCTTGGCGGGCTGATTTCCAAAGAATCTCTTGGCCTAGAAAGGCCAGATTTATTAAATGTATATTGGTCTTGTCCGTACTTTCTAGTAATAGTAAGTTATTCTTTTTCATCAGACTGACTAGTGGAAAATTGTTTATTAAGGGGACCTAAGTCTGTCTATTGCAAGTGCATTCAGTAGTTTTAAAAACTTTAAATTTACATTCAAAATAAAAATGAGGGTAGACTTATACATGTGTTCCTCATCTGGGAAACACATGGCTGTATGTGATGAGTTAATTTTCCTGGCTGCAGTAGCCAACTACCATTTTGTACATGTCTCTTCTTAAATACCAGTGGAAAAGTAATGATTCAAAGCATATTCTTAGAACCAGTTTGAAACTGGGGACATACCATTTAACTCTAGGGATCTAGTCCACTTGGAATAAGTTACTGCCTTAACATAAACATGAGCACATTTTTTTTTTGTTCTTGTTAACAAAGAGAGGAAGTTCCTCTTGGGCAGATTTACAAAGCCTGAAAGCAACCTCATCTTCAACATAACAGTGTCATTCTTAAACTTTTGTCTAAAAGAAATAATAAAGGATCATTGTTTCTCATTATAATGTAAAACCAGCAGTATTAACTGATGAAAAAGTAAGCTAAAGAATGAAGCTAGTATCCTCAAATGTTTTTATTTGTGGTTTTGTATTGTGGATAATAACTAGACTTCCATAATATTAATAAAAAGTTTTTCCTGGTTGATTCCTGAATCAACTGAAAAATCAGTAGCAGCTGCAATAGCACATCAGTACTTACATCTTCACCATTTGCTCCCGGCAGTGCAAATTAGCACAAACTGGTATTTGCATGGGAGTGTATTTTGTGGCCAATTTTGCACTAAAAAAAAAAAAAAAGATGAGGATGTGTGTGTGTATATATATATTACATAAAAATAATACAAAAAATATATGTGTCATATAACCACCAGTCGGTGCTGCTATGTTTATATGTGGTGGTTTGAAACAAAAAAAAAAAGGCAAAGAGAGTGCATCTGTAGTTTATTTGTATCAGCAGATGTGAAGTGAAAGCACAGTGGAAGAACTACAAAGCTGAGTATGGCCAGGTTCTGATTCATAAATGGAAAAGTGTTCACATAGCAAAATGGTGCATGGCTTATATAAGCAAACACTATAAAGTCAGAGCCTTTGCATAGCAAAGGATAACTTTAAGGCTTTCCTTTGTGTGATGAATTCTGTTCTACTTGTGGGACTCCATTCCTGTAGGGTAGAAATTTCTCATTTTTGGATCATGAACTTCTTGGAATATCTGAGGGGAAAGTATGGACAGTGTCTCCAGGGGCAGGAAAGTGAAGAAATACCCGCACACAAACTTTTTATACAGTTTTAGGGGCATTAAAAAAAAAAAAAAAATTCTGCCATCAAGTAGATTCTGACTGATAGCAACCAGAGTGTCCAAGAACTTCCTTCTGGTTCAAACCCCTGCTGAGAATTTGCATTTCTAACAAGTTCCCGGGCTATGCTAGTGCTGCTGGTTGGGGACCAATTCTGAGAACCACTAGTAGAGCAGTGGTTCTCAAAATTTTTTATACGTAATAATCATCTGGGGATCTTGTTAAAATGTAGATTGTGATTCAGTATACCTGGGAAGGAAATGCAAATTCTGTTTACTATTAGTGACACTACAGGACAAACTAGAACTGCCCCATAGGTTTTCCAAGGCTATAATCTACAGAAACAGACTGCCACATCTTTCTCCCATGGAGCAACTGGTGGGTTGAAACTGCTGACGATCGATCCCTAACGGGTTAGCAGCTGAACGCTTAACCATTGTGCCACCAGGGCTTCTTTTAGGAGCATTAGTGTATCCAAATAACCCCCCTACTCTAGTTTTTTCCCAAATTTTAACCCTTTCAAGACCCCTGGGACGTACACCACCCACTTTTTATGCTTTTAGAGTTCTGTGGAAAGGGGGTAGCCCGATTTTAACACATTTAGCCTCAACGTTTCAGCGGAGCTTCCAGACTAAGACTAGCAAGAAGACATGGCGGTCTACTTCTGAAAAAATTAGCCAGAGAAAACCTTATGAATAGCAGTGGAATGTTGTCTAATACAGTGCTGGAAGATGAGCCCCTGAGGTTGGAAGTCACTCAAAATACAACTGGGGAAGAGCTGCCTTAATGACGTGGGTGGAGTCCAGCTTTTGGGACCTTCATTTGCTGATGTGGCACAGCTCAGAATGAGAAGAAACAGCTGTAAACATCCATTAACAGGAACATGGAACGTACGAAGTACGAATCTAGGAAAACTGGAAATCATAAAAATGGAATGGAATGCATAAACATTGATACCCTAGGCATTAGTGAACTGAAATGGACTGGTGTTCGCCATTTTTAATCAGACAATCATAGGGTCAACTATGCCAGGAATGACAAATTGAAGAGGAATGGCGTTGCATTCATGGTCAAAAAGAACATTTCAAGATCAATCCTGAAGTACATGCTGTCAGTGATAGGATAATATCCATATGCTTACAAGGAAGACCAGTTAATATGACTGTTATGCAAATTTATGCACCAACCACTAATGCCAAAGATGAGAAAATTGAAAATTTTTACCAACTTCTACAGTCTGAAATTGATCAAACATGCAGTCAAGATGCGTTGATAACTACTGCTGATTAGAATGCAAAGGTTGGAAACAAGAAGGACCAGTAGTTGGAAAATACGGCCTTGGTAATAGAAACAACAGTGGAGATCGCATGATAGAATTTTGCAAGACAAATGACTTATTCATTGCAAATACCGTTTTTTCACCAACATAAACGGTGACTATACACGTGGACTTCACCGGATGGAATACACAGGAATCAAATCAACTATATCTGTGGAAAGAGACAATGGAGAAGCTCAACATCATCAGTCAGAACAAGGCCAGGAGCTGACTGCAGAAAAAACCATCAATTGCTCATAAGCAAGTTCAAGTCAAAGCTGAAAAAAATTAAAACAAGTCCACGAGAGCCAGAGTACAACCTTGAGTATATCCCACATGAATTTAGAAACCATCTCAAGAATAGATTTGACGCAATGAACACTAATGACCGAAGACCAGACTAGTTGTGGAATAACATCAAAGACATCATACATGAAGAAAGCAAAAGGTCATTAAAATATAGGAAAGGAAGAAAAGAACAAAATGGATGTCAGAAGAGATTCTGAAAATTGCTCTTGAACTTAGAATAGCTAAAGCAAATGGAAGCAACGATAAAAGAGCTGAGCAGTAAATTTCAAAGGATGGCTCCAGAAGACAAAGTAAAGTAGTACAGTGAAATGTGCAAAGACCTGGAGTTAGAAAACTAAAAGGAAAGAACACGGTCAGTATTTCTCAAGCTGAAAGAACTGAAGGAAAAAATTCAAGCCTTGAGTTGCAATATTGAAGGATTCTGTGGGCAAAATGTTGAATGATGCAGGAAGCATTAAAAGAAGATGGAAAGAATACAAGAATCACTGTACCAAAAAGAGTTGACTGACATTCAGTGCCAAAGATAAGAAAATTGAAGATTTTTACCAACTTCTACAGTGTGAAATTGATCAAACATGCAATCAAGATGCATTGATAATTACTGGTGATTGGAATGTGAAAGTTGGAAACAAAGAAAAAGGATTAGTGGTTGGAAAATATGGCCTTTGTGATAAAAGTGACATCAGAGATCTCATGATGGAATTTTTCAAGACCAATGACTTCTTCATTGCAAATACCTTTTTTCAACAACATAAACAGTGACTGTACATGTGGACCTCGCCAGATGGAATGCATAGGAATCAAATCAACTACATCTGTGGAAAGAAACCGTGGAAAAGCTCAATATCATCGGTCAGAACAAGGCCAGTGGCCAACTGCGGAACAGACCATCAATTGCTCATATGCAAGTTGAAGCTGAAGAAAATTAAAACAAGTCTACGAGAGCCAAAGTACAACCTTGAGTATATCCCACCTGAATTTAGAGACCATCTCAAGAATGGATTTGAGGCACTGAACACTAATGACCAAAGACCACATGAGTTGTGGAATTACAACAAGGATATCATACATGAAGAAAGCAAAAGGTCATTAAAAAGACAAAAAAGAAAGAAAAGGCCAAAATGCATGTGAGAAGAGACTCTGAAACTTGCTCTTAAACATAAAGTAGCTAAAGCGAATAGAAAAAATGATAAAGTAAAACAGCTGAACAGAAGATTTCAAAGGGTGGCTCTAGAAGGAAAGGAAATTATTATAAGGCAATGTGCAAAGACTTGGAGTTAGAAAACCAAAAGGGAAGAACATGCTTGGCATATCTCAAGCTGAACTGAAGAAAAGATTCAAACCTCGAGTTGCAATATTGAAGGATTCTATGAGGAAAATATTAAACAATGCAGGAAGCATCAAAAGAAGATGGAAGAATGCAAAGAGTAACTAACTGTACCAAAAAGAATTGGTTGACGTTCATCCATTTCAGGAAGAAGCATATGATCAAGAACCGATGGTACTGAAGGAAGGAGTCCAAGCTGCACTGAAGG